AGGGAGTACTTCAGTTTCTTGTGATTCTCGGGATGTTTTTTCTTCATTCTTGAATAGAAATATTGTTACGCTAACACCCTTTGGCCTCCTCTGTACAATTTGGATATTTTGACGCGACGTTTCAAAGTTGTGGATGCAAGTCTACTGTGTAGAATAGTGATGTAATGTACAACTCATGAACGGATATTTATGATTAACCATGACTTCGATGTTCATGATTTTATTTCGACGCTTTTTGAAGTATTTAACGCTTCTTCGGTGGGCGGCGATCACGGAATCTGTAGACGCGGTTCTCAGTAATCCACTGGTCCGTCAGAAGAACGGTTATCGATCCGTAATATATCATATTCATCCAGAATGCAAACCACCAGCATTTTGCAAATACACCGTCCCCGATTGCCTCGGTTATCTGGCGATTTGTTTCTTTTGCTCCGTAGGTGGCGTTCATGTAGACAAATCGACTGAAGTATATCAGCCATGCTATGCAACAACGGAAATCCAGTACATCTTCCCATTCGTTCGACAGGGGCCGTGGTGCAGTCCATTCCGTGATCTTTTTCCATCCGCACGATTCTAATTCATAATCCGTTCCACAAATTTGGCAATTTGTATTGTGAGTAATTTCAACCCACTTTTCGAGACAAGCTGAATGAGTTCTGGCGACGCTTCCTTTGCAGTTGCACGGACAAATCAGTTTGGAAACTTCTTGGTTGTCGTCTAGGCAAATTCTGCACAGCGCCATGTCGGTCGCCGTCGAAGTAGTCACTGATGCTGCTTGACCATCAAGTGGAGTTTCATACTTAATATCCGATGTAGAAGTGGGTTGCTCTTCGGTGAGAATCATCCTTGGGTGAGAGTGATTTTGGTGAGCGTAGTGAAGGAAATGAACCACCCTTCTCTAATTGTACAAGAATGTTTTCATCCTCGATCCCTCTCTATTTACTGATGTGCATTGGTGTAGATGTTGATTACGCGCCCCAAAGTATCCATTTTTCGCGAGTGCTCGGTTGTGAAGGGCAGTGTGACTTTAGAGGTGCACAACTCTCTAGAAATTAAAGTTGTGACAAACATTTATTGAAAACTTGAAAAAAAAAGCTCAGGAAGGTGAGGGGCACTATCACAAGATAAGGGAGCATTGCTGCCGCAACACACTTAAAGATCGCGTGAAATCGCAATGGGGTTTCATCCAGTAAGATGGGGCATGTGATGTGACTGTTCTTGCCGGCTACAGAAATTTGCAAGGATAGGAAATCCCCGGGTGCGTGAACCATTTCGCTTCAAGCTTTTACACCCACCCCGGAGCTTCCCTCCCTGAAAAAAGTGGATTACTTCATGCAATATGAACTGTCGCACCACATGCCCCCTTACTGGGTGAGATCCTCCCATCGTTTTTCTTGTTATAAACGGTAGTAAGCCTTAGGCCGATGTCAGACTTTGCGAATCGGGCGATTCGCTAGCGTCTGCCGTCGCGTCGCGGACAAGATTATAAGTTCAGGAACATAGGGTGTATACCGTAACCTTCTCGACGTTGCACTGGGGCGCGCATTCTCACGTGTCATCGATTTTCTCGTCTTCTCTGCACCCTCTCAACGAAGAGAGAATGCGTCGAGCAGGCCCGCGCAGAGTACTATGCGCCGTTTATGTAGAAGGTGGAGGACACAACGCGAGCGGTTGTCGCCACACGTCGGATGGGGCGGCACCCCGGGGATCACCTCCCTGTGCTCGCGCGCGGAGCGCGCGCAGCGTTCAGCCTCGCCGCGCAAGCGGCGAGGCGAATGCTGCGACGGTGCTTGGCTTCGTCGCGCAAGCGGCGCACCGGACGCCGCAACGGTGTTCGGCCCCGTCGCGCGGGCGGCGAGCCGGACGCTGCGACGGTGTTCGGCTTCGTCGCGCAAGCGGCGAGGCCAACGCTGCGACGGTGTTCGGCTTCGTCGCGCAAGCGGCGAGGCGAACGCTGCGACGTCGCTCCATTTTTGGGTTCGCTGCCCCGAACAGCAGGGGCGGCGTCGTTGACCGCTCTCACTACATTGTGCACTGGAAAGCCTGCAACCGCGCTCTGACGCAAACGTGGGTTACGGTATACATCCTATGTTCCTTAACTTATAATCTTGTCCGCGACGCGACGGCAGACGCTAGCGAATCGCGCGATTCACAAAGTCTGACATCGGCCTTAGGCGAGGGCAGACTCAAGTGTGCGTGTGCGGTTTTCGTTTTCCCTACAGTTTCTGCCTTTCATAGGCCTAGCCCTAGAGGTGCCCCTCCCCCCTGATTGCGGGAAATAAGCCGTTTGGACAGAGCGAGCACCCGAAGTAAGGCGTGAATTATATTGTTCTGCTGTAGTCACGTACAATGCGCGACGCATTGACGCGTTAACGTGTGCTCGCCCTCGTTTTCTCTGCGCTCTCAACGAAGAGAGAACGCGTCGAGCAAACTCGCCAACTGTACTAAGCGCCGTTCATATAGGAGGTGGAGGATGGACACACGCTCGCGCGCGGCGCTCAGGCTCCCCGCCCGCGCGGCGGAGCGTACGCTGCGACGCTCGACCATTTTGGATTGCTGCCCTGGACCGAAGGGGTAGCGTCGTTGTTGGCATGACCTTCAGAATGGCTACCGCAGAAAGCGCGTCGCTGCGAGCGCAATGTACGTGATTGGCCGATGTCAGACTTTGCGATTGGAGCGATTTTGCACCAATTGCAGGAGCGACGGATCGCTCCAAAGTGCGAGCGACGGGAGATTTACCCGAGCGGCGCCGTGTGTATCGGTCGTCGGCGGGGTAAATCTCCCGTCGCTCGCACTTTGGAGCGATCCGTCGCTCCTGCAATTGGTGCAAAATCGCTCCAATCGCAAAGTCTGACATCGGCCAATCAGCGGCTCGCGCGACTCGTTAATGACTGGACGCGAAGTCTGACACCAATCCTAGATTAGTTAGAATGCCCAAAAATAGAAGAACGTGAAATTAGGTTCTTAATGAGGTTTACGTGAAAATGAGAAATACTTTTTAAATGTGCACCACTATTCTCAATATTACTCCCCTTTTGATGAGACAAATCTCGAATAGCGGTACCATGCCCGACCGCTCGACGAAGGCATTGGGATCTTGGGAATGCGGCACGCATTTTACTTCCATTTAGTTTTTTATATTTCGTAGTGGATTTCGAATGCCATGTGACCTATACAATGACTTGCTGGGATTCCTAGGACCACGCACCTAGTAAGCAGCATCACTTGCCACTACACTACTTCCGTCCGCATTCTGTATTACATTTTCTTAACTTGCTATTCGGAACTTTGTCCATATATGTAATGATCTTCTGCTTCCCGGTTCCCTACTTTAAATTTTAATTTACGCATTAATTGATTTGAGTGCAATGTTAATCGTTTTATCGAATGAAATACATGATCTATTTGCCTTCGATAATCTATGTCTTGTTTTGAGCCGCTTCGTCTACTATGGCGTTACGGCTTGCCTTGGGCTGTGTTCACCAACAAGTGGCGAAAGGAATATGTAGTTCAATAGTACGGAGGTCATACTGCAATGAAAAAGTCTTCAAATCTTTACTGTCTGATACAAGAATAGCAAGCCCATTTGCGGACCCTTCAAGAACGGTAAGACTATTCATTCATTACGAAATCTGTTCTGGCTCTTTCATTTCTGTTTTATTTACACAGTATTCAGCAAATCTGTTTGAGCTATTGTAATTGGAAAAGAGGCACCTTTTGCACTACTTACAACCCAGTAGGGGCGAGATGTGTCAACTTTTTTCGCTGAAACTTTCTTTTGGGGTTATCGAGGGTCCTAATCACGTGAATAACATCCGTATCTGGCGCAGGCGCCGTTTGGCACCAGGTGGCGTCGGGACTGATTTTCACCAAATACTGTAAAGTTCAGTATAGTGGTTAATTGGGGCACTTATGAATATTGAATATGGCTTTTGTTTTTACGCTGGCGGTATGCACGCCTATTTCCTGCATGCCTGCGTCCCCTCACTTCGCAATAGGGACTGAGCCTTTATAGAAGGGAGGGCTTCGAAGTGAGTGAGCCGCTAACCCTGTGATCCCATAAATTTCAACCCCTCACAAAAACTGCGTGGTTCGCCCACTCCGGGGTCTCACCTCATTTCATAAGCTTAGTCTTACGATTAGTAGCCATAAGTTAGAGAAGCCAGGAATGCAGAAAATAAGTTTGAAACAGCGCGAATGCCGTAAACGAACGTTATGTTCGTAATAAGGACCCCAAATGACGCCATGCACAAGTTTACAGCGAATTTCGTAAAAATAGCTATGTTTCTAAGAGGCGCCAACTTGGCGCCAGCTCCCAGCTCCAGAAATGGATGTCTATTCGTGATCAGATAACCGATAACCCCCAAAGGAGAACTTTCAGCGAAAAAGTTATTGGTCCATCTCACCCCCACTGGGATTGTAATAGTGCAATAGTTCCGAAAAAAGAAACCGGGCAGAGCTTTTCAGGGAAAGTATGTTATTTGCAGAACAGTCGTACTTGTGTTGAACCGCAAATCGAGCCCCAAAACATCTAAATTTCATCACGTCTCTCATTGAAACTTCTACGTTTTGTGTCGCTGTTTCATATTGTGTCCTAATTAGTACGAAGCAGTTTACGCAAAATGGGTGGGGTTTCGAAATATTTAAAAAAACCGAAATCTGAATTCTCGGGTCTGTCCTTGTTTCGTGTCACACCAAAAAGGTATTGATAAATTGGGAGACACAACAATTTGCATCTCTATTCAGGTAAAATCTCCAAGCACCGCATATTTCTCAGTACCGCGAGAAGCCCCTGGGGGCGATAGCCGAGAGTCACTGAAAGGAACCCAGTCGTCCGTACAAAATGTTGTGCTGGAGGCAAAGGAAAGTAATAAAGAGGTGGGCAGAATTCCTTATAGGTTTACTGGTGCATTGTTTGGTTCCTGTTGGTGTGTGACAAATATAGACTATTACAGTGCTCAGTTTGTGTTTCTTAACTCGGAATTTATAAATCTTTACAGGATAAGGAGACAGAAGTGAAAGGAAAGTCTGAGAAGTTATCGGCCATCGAAGAGCTCAATCTGTTGAAAGAGGAGTTGGCAAAAACCGCAGCAAAAGCAAGTTCTGGAGGAGGGTCTAAAGGTTCCAGCGACGAGGTCACTATTATATTTTTCTTGAACCGGTAAATATTTGAAAAAAAAAACGGGAAATTCTGTGTAACTTTCATTTTTCGTGATACTTGCGTGGATTCTGCGTAACCAATTTTTTCTTCCCGATATTTCCTTCGCATTTACACGCAGCTTTTGATCACTGTTATTCCAGCCTTTTGACGAAGAAGCTGATAAGGAAAGACGTCGTAAGCGTTTAGAACGCAATACTCGCATTGGTGGAGTGATTGTTTTTGGAAGCGCTGTAGCTGGATTCGTTGCTTTCTGCTTGTACTATGGTAAGTACTCTTTTCACATTTACAAAGCTAACGAGAGTCGAAACTAATGCAGAGCACGCCACAGGATCTTAAAGTCAGTAGCGTAAGTGTGCTTAGGACAAGCCATTGCCATCAGTACGATTGAAATAATTTATATTTAATTATCTGATATCATCCTCGTTTCCGTACAAGCAGTCTTGTATCTATTTCTTCACATTAGCTCCGGGGGGGGGGGGGGAGGAGATGGCGTGTTGGTGGTGTCCATTGCAATATAACACGCTCCTCTTGAGCCCTTCCTTATTTAGGAACCGATTAATTTCAGGTCGAGCTAAACGCGATGAGGCTGGGAACATTGTGCCGGACGAATGGACAGGATCTTATTTGGCACCATTTTATCGAATAGCAAACAGCTTCAGGGTTTGGAGGGATGTAAGTCTGACTTCTCTTCCTCTTCTAGCCTTAATGGAATGGCTGTATTTTTTTTTGTTACCTTGTTTCCCTATACTGGAGGAAAGTGAATGTAGTGTGTTACAGTTTGTCGTGGAACCAGCTCGAGAACAACTTCTTCCCGATCCTCTTCCTCATCCGTATATCCAACCAAAATACACATTAGTTATCGAAATGAAGAATGTGCTGGTGCACCCAGATTGGACATACAAAACTGGATACCGGTACCCATTTAATTTTGTGGATTATTCTTTCGTTTTACTTGGTTTTATTACCAGTCTTGTGAGGAACCTGAAAAAGTTATACTTTCATCATTTACCTCGTCCACTATTCATAAAGTGAGGTTTTTTCCTGCTTGTGGAGGGACAGAAGACAATGTGACTTCCAAGCACATTCACGGTAGCTTAGTACTCTAAGCGCTCTGAACTGTATGAGCAGCTTTTGGAAAGTCATCAACAATGAAAAGTAACCAAGCGATGAGAAGGAGAAAAAAGAACCGCTTTTCTCCTGTAGACAATTCTAAAAATTATGTAAATGTAATGAGAACAATGAATGCCAGGATGTTTCAAGCTGACATGTTGAATTCAGCGAAGCGACCTATCACGTCGAGTGCGCCGATTTTGATTTTAGTTTCCTCTTATCTCTCATTCTGTTGCCCTCATTCACCTCATTCGCCATTTGGCGTCTACCTAATGTTGCACCAAGTTGGGTAGGAGCTCGTCAGCCAAGTAAGAGATAACACCTTTTGACCTCATTTCTCTGCTTAGAGTTACGTATTGCTGGAAAGGTTTGCGGTTGCGGACCCCGGTAGCCTTCTCATTAGAATTTTCAAACCTTTCACTTAATCATCGAATGCTCCATCAAGCTCATTCTCTATATCCAGGCCTGATAAGTTTTGTAGAATTAAGTCTTGGTTCATTTCAGGTTCGCAAAACGTCCAGCTCTCGATTACTTCCTTGACGTTGTAGGATACCCTAATTTTGAGGTCAGATCTCTTCAACTATACATCTTCATAATTTGAAGAGACCTGAGTTAGTATATGTTTAGGTTGTGATATACACCAGCGAATCCATGATGACCGCCCATCCAGTCGTAGATTCCTTCGATCCGAAACAACGAATCATGTACAGATTGTATAGAGATTGCACAAAATACATGCATGGACAACATGTCAAGGTAAATGTGGTTTTAATATCAGAACTGATCCTTCTTAGGATCGGATATCTTATCATTGCTACGTAAAAAATTTCAGGATCTGTCAAAATTGAATCGTGATCTTTCGAAAGTTATTTTCATTGATGTTGATCCTAAAGCAGCTCAATTGAATCCTGAAAATATATTACTTGTGCCTGAATGGAAGGGTAACATGGACGACACTTCACTTGTAGACCTCGCTGAATTGTTAAAAAGTGAGTGAAATTTACTATTATAAAATTTATTCAATCACTGCATCTGGTATTCTTATCAGTTTTCGTATTGATCAGTCTGCGCTTTTTCCTTTACCTTTGCCTCGGCTAAAGTTTCAGCTCACGAATTTCGTTTTTTTGTAGTCTTTCGGTAAATGAATTGTAGGTATATGTTGTATATCTGATTGTTTTCAGCTCTTCACCTTTCTGATGTGGAAGATGTCCGACCGACGTTACAGTATTATTCTCAGTTCCCAGACCCTGCTAAAGAATTCCGAAGGAGAGCTATCTATTTGGCGGAACAAGTCTGTTTTTCTGTGTGTCACCTTTATAACCATTGTAATGATTGCTACTTTCACAGGAAGAGCAAAAGAGACATCAACGCGAAGAAGAGGGTCATTCCTTGCTCAAGAAGTATTCCGGTCGCTTGTTCGGCTTCAGACGACATGCTCCCACATGAGCTCCAGAATCGGTATTTTGAAATTGCATTGTTCTGATGCGACGTTCAGTCTAGTCCTTCATTATGTTATTAGCTCACTTTGTCAATCTCAGAGGGGAACGCAGCGTTCCCTTGTACTCTTGGATGTCCGATAACTGTTTAACTTGTTCCGTTGTCTTTCTTGAGGCATTAAGCCTTTCGCTGACTAGGAAGCTTTCACACGTACCTACTTTGGCAGTGAATTCATAGAACAGGCGATCCACAACATTCTCAGGAAGAGAAATCAATAGATTCAGTCTCCTTGAACAATATAAATTCCTATCTCGGTGATTTTTGCGCTTTTTTGAGCTAGCTGATGACAACAATGTTTGCATTAGTAAATGTGCCGCCGTTATTCCCACAATTATGGTGAATGAGTAGAAAATTAGATGAAAAATGGATTTAAACACTTCAAGACCTCAGGGAACAGTTATTCAAATACATCTTGTTCGATAAACTAGTAAAGTAGGATCGTCTTCCAGTTGAACAGCGCTCTCGCATAGGCTTCCCTCACTGTTCAATGTTGGTTGAAGATTTTCTGATGCTGTCTTGGACCTAGGACTATTACAATTGGCGTTTTCTTTCTTTACCATAGGGGATTTGTAGAACATTCGATTTGTTTCGCTTCCGGAAGCTAAATTTTCTTCTCGTTTCTCATACAACCCGAATTTTTCATTGTCGACTGATCGTTTCGCTTCATTTGTCCACGGTCATGGATCTACCAACATCACATCCTTGTCCGATTCTATGCTCTCTTAGATTCGGTAAATTCCTGGATTGCGAATCGCTTCCTGACCTGGTTATCTCTCGCTTCGTTATGTTTCAGTGCGCAATCAGCGTATGACCTCATGGACTTCCCCTCCCACGCTTTCCTTTGAAATTACGTTCCGTGGAAGTCATCTAGTGAATTGACCCGTCCGGCTTTTTCAGTACATACGCTACCGATCAGGCTTTCGATCGTGTTCCGTTATTAGAGCTCTTAAGCAGTCATGAACACGTCTCGGTGTTTTGCGATCTGTACCGACGATTTACAGCTGAACTAGAGCTTCTGGCAGAGATATGAAGTGCATTATAGTATCTTGTCATGCCTCAACGAATAATTGCTGGTCATAGTGCTAAATGAACTTGTCCTTCGGCTATTCCCTCGACAGAATCGCTGTTCTCATTGCCTTTTTTGTTATAATGTAGTCGTTTTGCTAGTTGTTTAACTCTTGTTAAAAAGTTTTAAAATTTCATATGTAAACGTGTATATTCTACATAGGTGATTGTTATTGTTGAAATATTAATATAAATCTATGAACTGAATGGGCGTGTGATTTCCAAAGTAGAAGCTGTTACATGTCTCTACTGATATTTTTCCTTCTCTCACTTTTCTCCCTCTGAATTAGAGAGTTCAAGGCCACCAAGACGCTGTCACGCGTTGCATTCCACGCACTTTTCAAGGTCTGAAAGAATGCTGTTAGGCGGCGTCCACGAATGTTATCACCAAGTCTTCAAAAGGTCACAGTTCATTTAATGGGCATGGTCCATTTAAGGAAACTTGAAGGAATTGAAGGGTATTCCGTAATGGTCGCGAGCAATTATTCTGCGTGTACGATTTATTTTTCGTCCCCCCTAGACCTCATGCTTTGTTTTTCCTTTGTTTCTCTTGCAACGGATAGGCAGTTGACTATTTGGAAATTTGGCGCAATAGGCCTAAACTTTGCTCTCTGAGGATTATGCATGTAATCTAGAGATTTTGTATTAAACATACTAATGGTTCTTAGCGCAGTGAATATTTGAAGCGGGAGTCGATTTGAAGCGAGTAGGTCGCGCAAATCGGAGCTTTGTTTAGCTGATTTATGTCCTATATCGGGTAGATTCAAACCAGGAAGGTCGATTCGTGTATTCCAGTTCTAGATGGGAAATCTGAGGGGTTGGTCTTTTGATAATCAAGATGGTTTTGCACGGGAATGTTTTTTTCGCATATCAAAGCTTTAGTTTTCCAAATAATCAAATTGAATCGATGTCTCCACTGTCTGTGAAATCGTACCACTTAGACTGTTTTCAATAAGTAAAGCGAATAGAAGTTTGAGGCTTTTGGTCTACTACAGCTTGAGGAAAATCGAGCGTGTATAGCAACTTTTCGGTGAAGTGATGCCATTAGAACAAGTTCGATGGTTTGCAGTTAGAATGGGGTGGCGAAACTCTCCATACTATTCATTTATGTAACCTCTTTTTGACGAGCTAACAGTAGACTAATAAGGAGCTGTACACGAGTGAGACAGCTGACAGCTGACAGGAGGCTAACTTCAGTATCAGCAGAGGGCTACCGTAATCCCAACACGTCACGTATACAAACGATCTGGTTGCCTCAAGAGGATCAAAGGGATTCACGAGTTGATTCATATAAGGACTACTGGTGATGGGTTAGAATTGGCACCTATCTGCCGTGAGAGACAGGTCAATGCGTAAGATCAAAGGAGATCATAAAGAAGCCTCTGTAGGGAAGCATTTTGTAAATTTACAACTGCGTGCAGCTAGATACAAGCTTTGACAAAGTGAGACTATGGAGTTTAGGCACGAAGTAAATACTTAGGCAGGTACATCATTGCCCTCACGGCTTTGAGGTCTGAAGACGAGCGTGTCTGTCTTGTCTATTCCAGAGCTATAGGCGCAAAATCCTGTAAGTGCGCATTTTTATCGCAGAATCTTGCCGAGTTCCACGTCCTAGGATTATGGTGGCCCCTTGTTGACTTACTGAAGTTACGATCAGCTTTTTAGTTTGGTATCACCACATATTCAAATACTGGGGGAATTTATCGGGCGCTAGTCCCAGAATCTCAAATTTATTTTTCGTCAAAACTTTGCCCATATTAGTAATTCGATCCTGATTGCGAAAATGACATTCACCTTCAACGGTGGCGTCATCTGGTGCCAGTTGGCCTCACGTTGTCACGACAACTGTTTTCGCCAAGTCCCATGTAGGTTTTTGTATAGGATATAAGTGTAATGATTACGAATATTATATTTGTGTCAACACTAGCACTATTTAACGCTTGTTTTCTGCTCTACTGGGCTCTCTCTTTAACAGTGCTCAAGCGCCAGCGTCAAAATGAGTGTCATTCTCGTAGTCAAGGTATCGAGTTACTATCCATGGGAAAGTTGGACGAATAACAAATTCTGAGATTTTTGGGGTCGGGTGATCAGTACCAATTATCGTTACACTAAAAAACGAACACTTTTGGCGCATCCTGAGCTCTTCCTTCGCAAATTGGGCGGGTTCGGTCACTTGTTGCGTATCTCAGCAACGTTCAGTCCAATTGAATGACTTGGGATTTTTTCATGGGTTTCGGAAGGCTACCTTCTATATTGGTAACAAAATCATAATTTTCCCGATTCCCTAGCAGGCAGAAGTCGATTTTGATTGTAATTCTTTATGTCCTTAGGCTGCTTTCATACTTTGCGCCACTGCGACCAGTGCAGATATTGCGAAGAACGTCAACGCGCACTGGCGTATTGTACGGGTACTTGGAGCACAGTCAGCGCCTTTCGGTTGATCTATTTTGATTTTTTACATTCTTTACAGTAATTTCAAGTGTTCTACGTGCCGAGTTGCTCTAGCTCGTATTTTTTAGCGAGGAATTTTTGGATGTTTTTCAATTATCCTTGGACGTTTAGCATCACGCAGTGCATTTAAAGTGGCGTTAACCAGATGAGTTCCATGGTGCGCAAAAACAATAATTAATACAAAAAAGAAGAGGTTTCAAGCTAGAAGACACGGGCGAAAGCAACACTGCACGTAAAATACATGGAAATGTGCATAGTCCAATACAAAATTGATCTGTCGAAAATCGCGGACTGTGTTCAAAGGGCGCGTCATGCGCAAGTGCGCGTATTGACGCTCTTCGCAGGTTCGCACGGTCCGCAACATTCGCAACGGCAAAGTATGAAAGCAGCCTGACAGAATTTTTTAAGTTGCCCCTCTAGTAGTATTTTGCCTGAGTTCAAAATAAATGTCTGCTGCGGATGCTACTTTAGATTGTCAAGGCTTGACCTGGTCTAGATTGTGAGAAAAGTGCAGAGCTGTAAACTTTTATAGGAGTTATGGCAAATTTTATGATCGTTATAGCCAAAAGGTTTTATGGACGAACGCGCGACAAAGAAATGTCGGACAGTCGATAGTCGATAGCGAGCCAGCCAGCTAACGAGCCAACGGGGCAGCCGACCCGACATTATCCATAATCGTCGTACTTCGCTCGTTTGAGCTGAATTCGAGGAATCGATTACAGTGCGAATCGTCGACAATCTGTTTTTAATCCTACAACTTCCGCTATTCGTCCGAACAGAGTTGAAAGATCGAGATGGTGAGTCATTTGTCATTTTTGGGAACTTGCTTTCTAGTGTTTTTCCCTCTCATTTGCTATCTCTCTTTAAAATTCGAAGCGGAACACGCTCTCTTCCGTTCATAGATTGCTGTACAACTACTGCAGAGAATCCTTTGTTGAGGGTATTTGAACACACTTTGTAAATAGATGGCACTGAACCGCAACGATGGATCGTCCTGATTTTTCATGGCTCTAGAAAAGGATTTCGAAAAGTCGTGAAACACGTTGCAGTAGAAATAAGGTTGCCATTTATCACACAATCCGCTGTATAAGTCAGAACAGTAAACTTTTTGTAGGGATCAGATTCCACTTTAGTACAAGCCGAGATTTCTCAAAACCTTCTACTAGCCTAGTTCTGTTGAATTTGCTTCATAGGATAAACATCAGTGCAGCTCTCTGAAACTCTCTGGATCATCCTCCCATAGCAGCATGATCATTCCAAATTTTTTCCTTCCTCGTGATTTTTCTACGACTGGTTCTCACCCATAGTCCATTCTTCATCGCAATTGTGTGAATTTTTCGAACTAATGGAAAACTCCCACGGATCTCTTTCAATGGAAAACTCGTGATGAAGACTGTTGAGTCTGGCAGAAACCTTTCGTGATGTAGAATATA